GGAGTGTAAGATGCCATTTATGTCCTTTAGCACATTTCCATAATAAAGGTGAACGAGTATTAACAAATATTTTAGAAAGACACTCACCATTTCTACTATGTGCAATTTGTTTGGCTTCTTCAAGAGTAAGACGTCTATTATGTGCACAATCTGGGCACCAGCTATTATAATGTTTTATACGAGCAAAAGAAGAAGACCATTTATGACCCATATCACATTGCCAAGAAAGCGGTGTATAAGAGAGACACTTACCATTTCTATTATGTGCAATTTGTTTGGCTTCTTCAATTGTACAACGGCGATTGGAAGCACATTGCGGACACCAATTTTTAGCATGTTTAATCTTGTGAAAGGAAGCCAGCCATTCATGCCCTTGATGGCATTTCCATATCATTGGAGTAGTGGAATTATTATATACAGTTGAAAGACATACTCCATTACGAGATTTGGCAATATCACAAGCATCATTCAAAGATAATTTTACCATTGTGAATAAAGATTTTAATAATTCTTATATTCTATTTTTCTAAGTTTAAAATTTTGTCCCATCCTTTGCGAAGATAAAGAGCGTCTTCTTTAGCTCTAGTTAAATCGATAACAATAAATTCCCGACCCTGTAAATTTTTATCAAGCATGTCAACGGCATTACGCCAATTTTTTGTGTATCGCCTAGCAATATTAGCTAGTTCATCATATGTACTACTGCCATTGAAGAGAACAATATAATCGAGATTTTTTCTTATTAATTTTGGGCAGTCGAAGAAGGATTGTGTAACATATATGTTACTAATATTAGAGTGCCGCCCTTCGGTGAAGTAACGAGCAATTTTTTCTTGTATTTTTTTAGGTTCGGTACATACATCTTCGAATATAACAACTGTTCCTCTCTCAGGAGAGAATTCTTCTATCTTTGGTATTTTATCGGGTTTCATTGCTCGGAATGTAACATCTTCACGATATTGTTTGGGACTATTTGCAATAATGCTATAACAATCACGTAGATGCCTATATTTTGGTTCCTTAAGATGATGTCCGATCAAAACCAAATCATCGTTCTTAACATAGCATGTTCCACCCTTTTTCCTACCAAACATTCGAAACATCTTATCCCTAAGTAAAAGACTAATAATCATGTTTGTTTTCCCCGATCTCGTCCGCCCACTGACTAATAAATTGAAAGGCCACTGAGGGCATGAGTTAATACCATTAAAACGTTCTGGGTTTGTATACTCATCGATATTGAGTACAAAGATCTCACATGGGTCAAGTTTATTATGTACCATATTTATGTATCTTTAAATACTAGCTCCGCTATCTTATGAGTTTATTTCTTATGCGATAAATAACCTCTCTCTTGTAATTTGCTTTTTATGTACAGAAATAAATCACAATTGAATGGGATACAGATAAGATCTATGCCTTGCTCTTTGCATATATCCCGCTTTTTTTGATCTCTGATTTTTTGTTGTTCCAAGTCTATCCTACCTCGTTTATGGAACATTCGATTAAGAGTAAAATGTTGGACTCCCTGGTATTCATATGCCAATTTTAATTCTTCGTTATATCCATCTAATTGCATCCCATCCAAAAATGACGGTTTACATGATGGAAATTTCTTACCTAATAGATCTTCAAAAATATATCTCACGGATCTCTCACCTTTATTATGTTGACATAGGGGGCACCATTTGAATTTCCGTTCTAAAACTTCCAATGGATACTCAAACTGATGTTTTCCATTTCACAGGACCAGAGATATACATCGAAATCATTTATACGACCAGTTTTACCATGACATTTTCCGTCACGCTTCTTTGCATATTCTTCAGCCCTAGCTATTTTATTAATAATACGAACGAAATTAACAGACCTGGAACGAGCATTTTCTTCCAATATACTCCGGGGCGGATACTGAAACGTATTAATATTCACGCGTAAGAGCTCCTCTCTCACAAATCCACGCTTTGGAGCATATTCATCGTCATCATCTCCGAGGTAATATAAGATAGGTTCATTTTTTGAGACTACGTTTTTGCGGATTTTATGTAATGAAGGACTCCATACTGGATCGGTGGCCTTTTTTTGCTCTAAGCCAAGAGACCCTTCCCACTCTCCATCGGCTAACAAATAACGGACTGTATCACCCTTTTTCAACTTATTCTCTTCATATTTCCCAACAGGACGCTTATATTTCGTTGATGGTCTAGATTCTACACGTTCCAACCGAATGGCCAGTTTGGGAGCTAAACCCCACTTTGAAGAACCTGGGGCTCGAATGAGACGCGTTGGATAATTATTTAGGTAATCGATGACTTCTGGCAAATACTTCACCCACTCTCTTATTAATTTAGAATTTTTAGATATTGATTCAACGGCATACTGGATTTTATAAAGTATCTCTGCTAACATCTTATTGAACCGTTCAACAAGAGCTAATCCACGGTGACTATAAGCACCAATTACTCGAATCGTGACATTATGCGCTTCCATTAGCTAACTTACTGATTTTTTGAATTCTGTCCCACCATCACATTGTAGCAATTGAGGATAGATAAGGGGGTTATTAGGGTTATTATAAATTTTCCTGAATGCTTTGGCGACCTCACTAGATTTTTTTGATGTAAGTGGGACTGAAGCTTTAAAACGGCTACCCGCATCTATTATATTAAGCACTGCTATCCATTTTTTACCTTTGTAATGATCATGAGTAAGAAATAAAAGATCACACTGATGTACACAATTTGGACGTGAAATTTTCCCATAACTAACTCGTGAAATATTTTTCGGCGACGGAGCATACTTTTGCCATTCATTCTGGTTATGTAACCAGTCACGCACTTTTTTGAATGGGAATTGATATCCTTCCTTCTTGAGATCTTTATATAATTTTTGAGGGTTGGCATGATATCCTGTAGGATGATAAAAAAGTAACCAGCAAACTAAGGCCAATTCCTCATTAGGATCGATTAAAATTTGTGCTCGACTCATTTTGACGTATTTTACTATAACGAAAAATTTTAACACTTTCTTGGTAAACAATGTGATTAGTGTATATATACTACATTCCAATGGATAATCTTGTTGCGACAATTAAGAAATTACGCATACAGATCCAGAAAAACGAGGATTACATTACTTACCTGGAGAAAGAGATAACTACAAGGGATGATGAGATAGATATTCTCCGAATACAGGTAAACGATCTCAAAATAAGACTCCGGAAAGCAGAGGCGGACGCTCTGTCCAATGATAAAAATATATCTGCTCTCGAACTCCAGTTACAAGATATGAGCAGTGAAATATCTTCCCTTCAACATAGAATATATAAACTTCGAGAAGGGATGTCACTAACCACCCCAAGTACGTCAACTAATGTCTTTACATTGATAGATGAAACAAAAACTAATATTAGGGTCTTATTTGATTCCGTTAGAGGTGAGAATGATCTGTTAAACGACGAAATTGATAATCTACAGACCCAGATCGAATTAAAACTTACACAGATACAAAACAAGTGCCACGCGTATGAGTATGAAAATAGGTAACTCCGAGAAGGGCTGGCTCCAGAATATGAGACAGAAATAGGGCGTCTCCAAACAACTATAAACGAGCAGAGAGACCGGATAGATGAACTGGGGAATGAAGCTCAAAATTGGTATCAAAGGGCCAATCAGTTACAGGGTCGCTATGATACGGTTCTAGATGAAAGAGATCGGTACAGAACAGAATGTTTTCGGCACGAAGAAACTCTTAGAGGGATCCATGAAAATATAGCCCATGAAGGTGCGGATCAATTAGATTTGGAAGATGAGAATGCCATTTTAAAAGAGGAGATGCGTATAGCTGGTTTAATGATTATTGCCCTACGAGTTAGACGCTTAATTCTTATGAATAGAGGGCATGCATTATGGCAAGATGCAAATAATAGGGCACGGCATTATAGACTATACCTGTCACCCAAATTCAAAATCCAAATGCCAAAATCCCAAATGCTGAAATCCCAAATCCCAAATCCCAAATTATGATTAGTA